TGATAACAAATGGCAGTAGTTGCCCAGTCGATCCAGGGGTTGAGTCGTAATAACGATGGGGGCATTTGAATTGAGCCTCGAAATGTTGAATCTATCACTCACGACGGCGCTCATGAATACGAATCAGCGTGCCGTCAATCCTTAATTACCTCACTTAGGCCTATTTTCCTTGGGCCCGTATTCCTAATTAGACGGAACATATTGTGATTATTACCGACAACCGCAGTCTTTTCCATCTCCCTACACTTTTCCACCCGTCGATTTTCGCGGTAATTCCTCAGAAATTTGATTAGTCGGCTTTTAGCTTACTGATGCGCTGATAAATTAGGCCTCAGGAGTGGTTCTGCGGGTTTTCATCAAAATAGCCGAGATCAATGAGGCAATTGTTTGTGCTGTGATCGCGCGCCAGAATCTACCGTTGTTTAATTGACATTTGGATAGCGATCTTGATTAAGGTCCCGCGTTCACTTAGTCCTTCGGAGATTGGTTGAACAGAGAGATGATTGGAGAGCTTCGCTTCGAAGGCCGATTTGCAACCATTGCTGACACCGTATTGTGGGCATCTGTCATCCGTCGCTTTTCTCCGATTTTTTACCAAACGTAGGGAGAATCTGGCTTGTAGCAGAGCATGGTCCGTGTCGATGAGTGTTCACCAATATGAGCAGCAGTCCTCAGTGGTGGCTGACGGCGATGTGGTCGATTTGAGTTCATTGCTTTGAAGAGGTTGGTGGTTTCCCTGTGAGGCGCTGTCGTTTCTTATGCAAGCAGTTGGAGCTCGACAAAAACAGTTTGTGGTCAGAGTAAAGTTGAAGTAAGTTATCTCCGTTGACTGTCTAATTGTCCGAAATTGCATAAGGGCTGGATAATCATCTTTCTGATTCTTCCTGGGATCCCATTTGAGCATTGAAGTCCCCGGCGAATACAACGACGTCTGTCGTTCGAGAACTTTGGAACAGTTGAGAAAGATCACAGATAAATTCATCCTTGATTTCAGGTGAGGTGCAAACACGGATACGACAAATGGGCACCGACGCTTCGTTCCATAACTGTTGACCCGTACTGAACCCTCGAGACGTACAGTGCACAGTAGGTTACTAACAGGAATTCTGTCAAGAAGAGAACGCCCGGTATCGGTACTTAGCACAATACCAACACCGCGAGCTTCGGATGCCGAGTGCAACCGAAGTACCCGTGTGGGAACTTTTAGTGACCTGTCACACAACGTATTCGGCTTTTGATTCAGTGTATTGTTCGCTGGTGCGTTGATTATCGGTCCGCTTTTCGGGATCGGCCCTGAGCCTCATGCACCCAGTGAGACAAGCGGAACGTGGACGGGACAACACTTAATTGGCTGAGGGCTGCCCAGCTTGGGCGGGCAGTAACTGTCCAATGAAGTACAAAGACTTCTCCCACAGTCGAGAGGAAGTTCCAGGTACCTCGTTCCTACGTCCATCTAACAGGGTTTTTTTACCGTTAAACTGCCCCTCACCGTGTTTATTCGCTGCATTGACCCATCCAGCGGAGAGACTGGATGGTCAAAGGAAGCCAGGAGGAAACCGAGCAGCTGGCATTGTGAGACTGAGCTTTGTCTGGTTTCTACTCATCGACCTGTCAGGCATGATTGTATCTGCTGCTGTGGGGAGCCATCCTGTATAGGTCGTAGATTCATGGAAGCACACAAGCCATCAAACTAAGTCAAGTTGCAGTTTCGTCGTGATAAAAAAAACAAGAGATAGCTCAGCACATGGTGGATGAGAAAGTTGTGTAGATTATGCAAAGGAGTAAAGGAAGAAATATCAGTGATCATAATACTGTGCTTTGCTATATGCAAGTTCCAACCATAAGCGCAATAGAACTTAGACACCACAATCCGACAGCCCGACTCCATGAAACAGACACGAATTACCAGTTTTCAAATAGTTATTCTGAAGGTCAAATAGGGGCACTGAGCAGCTGATTGGTTCCTGTCAGTTCTGTTCACCCGCTAGGTTATGAAAGGTTTTTTCGTTAATGCTTTTACAACCAAGTACAAATGTTCAAAGCAAGATTATTAAACGGAAGAGATATGCGTAGTATGAATCCATGGCTCTTAACTTTTGCAATCATATGAAATGTTTTACTTACGAACAGTTATTAGATTGTCACATTCATCCGGAACAGCTGTGTTAATTCACTTATTTTCCCCGGATAATCAACTTCGACTGTTTCTTTTGGAAGCATATTGATCGAGACGTTCATGGACATCAGTTCTTTGGAAAGATCATCAGCTCCAGCCACACTTAGCACTCCCACCACTGAAACACGTCCCGGTTTGTGACATAGTTTGGCCAAACGCCGTCGAGTCTGCGCAATAATGATTGGAGTAACCGGGTCTTCGTGTGTAGCCAAATTCCAAATCTGTTGTAGAATATCCTCCAAAATGGGCAACGATGAGCCGGACTCTGATTCCGGAGCGTTAATGCGATCCGAAGCACCGGCTGAATCTATACCGAACGAAATGAACAAAATATTGAACGAGGGTTCGCAAATTATCAGTAGTATCAGTTTCCTATAGGTATGCACTGTTGGTAAACGACTTTGTAAAATGACCAAAGCTGGCACAATCTACCGGTCAGGAATCATTTGCAAATATCACCCATAGTATGCCAAATTGTGACTCTAACACAAAACTTTAATTCAAAACCTGACTAAATTTTACTTACCTAATTTGGCGAAATTTCTCCTACGTAAGACTAAGTTGTCTTCGTGGGAATGTTTTTGGTTTTTCCGCTGCAGAGAGATAGCTTGTTGCCACACCCTCAGGCATCGTCCACAACCGCTCATTCAGTGAAACAACACACACCTATTGATGGTTAACTAGCTAACTGGCTGTTTTTTCATCCACAACCCAGAGACGCTCCCGGTGTTGTATAGCTCTTCTAGCCGTAGTCTCCAGATATCCTATCGTTTCCCGGCTGCAACAGGCAAAAGTATACTTTCATAACACTGACATTAAACGCTGACATATGCCACTTGAGAAATCTTGCGCAGAACGTGCTTTTCGACGGTTTAGATGTCTCGTCTAGTATTAATAAAATGTTCGGGCGCGTCCTGAGGCTTTAGGCGGGAGAAAACTCACTACAATGACTATCTACAACCGTAACCAGTATCAGATGAAGAGCAGCAACCAGCTATTGGCGCTAGCAGCAAATAAAGACGAATTTTGGGTCGAATATCTGACTTCTGATAGTGAATACATGAGTTGTTAAAACCAGCGCGTGACCATTTCCTTTGCCTAGATTAGGTTACTAGGTGTCGTGGATGTCAGTGCATTTGTACCTGATCACTAGCAAGTTATAAATAAGCTTTTAACCAAAAGAACCGTCAGTATAACACAAGATAAGGGAAAAAAGAACGGTGCAAATCGCCAACTAAATACTGACTAACTTGTACAACTCAGGGAAGACATTCAATCTATTAGTCAGTCTGGGTGGATTAAGGTGTCAGAGTTTCCATTNTATATATATATATATATCGCCAAGCGGTTCTAAGTGTTTTGAACTGTCTATGTATTCTCACCCAGCAAGGCGATGTTACCGACATATTCTAAGTGAAGGACTGTTCCCTGGGAGGAGTTCGACTCCACCATTAGCTGGACCGGACAAAGCATTGTGTAGAATATCTTCTATGACAAAGTTGAAAAGGAATGGGGATAAAGGGCACCCTGGTCGAAATCCACTGGGGACGGTGAAGGGTTCGTTGGTCTTTGATAGCCATGACGGTGCTATAGCAGCTGTCGGAGGGTGNGAATATTCGATCCATGCATCCATGACCAGCTGGAAACCCAGCCTGCTCCTCACGCATAGCGTACAATCAGCCGCGAATGACGGACACCAACAGCTTTGACACTATTGGGATATGGCTTACACCCCTATGATTGGCGCAGTCATTGCGCGGGCCCTTTTTGAAGATGGGGACGACACATCGATTTCATCTACGAGGGGACCTGCTCGATGTTCCAAACTTTAGAAAACAGAACATGCAGTTCTCTCACAAGCTTTATTCCACCACCTTTAAACAGAGCTGGGGGAAGGCCATCGGAACCCAGCGCTTTGTGACGTCCCAAGGCTTGGATCTGCTTACGGATTTGCGCCTCAGAAGGAATAGCTGTGAGAAGCTGACGCTAGTGGCTAGCCAAGTTATGCTTTGAAGTGCTCCGCCCAGCGTGCAAGGCGTCGCTGTTGATTACGAATGGGTGAACCGACAGTTTTGCAGATCGTCTGGCTCGAACCCAAGGCTTTCCTGCCGGTGACCCGGATGAGATGGAACAGCTTACGGGAATTTCCCACGGCAACACGTTTCAACTCTGACGCGCGGTGAGTCCACCAGATCTCGCGGTCTCTTCGTAGGCTTGCATTAAGTGTATGCCTCGTTACGAGTCATGTTTCAGTATGCTCGCTGCCGGTCGGAATCGACCGATATGAGTCAAGAAGCCGCAGAAACTTCATGGTGTCACGGCGGGATGTGTCAAACCACAACTAAGCCAGCAGAATGCAGAGCATTCCTGATAAGTGACCAGCGCTAATTGATGTTATTGTGTAGGGTTAGTTCTAGCTTATCAGTAAGAGTCTTTTGGAAGACAGTTAGACAAGCTGGTTTGGAAAGCTTGTCGCAGTCTAACCGTCGTTGTATCGTGTTCGTAACGCCCACCGAAGCAATGGACAGCTTGGCGCTTACTAATGCGTGGTCGGATTCGAGGGGATTGCTCCAGTGCGATCGGCAGTCTTGAATACAAACCCACCATTTGTGGCTCATAGCGATGCGATCGACCTGCGTTCGTCGCTGACTCGAGGACGGTGGGCGCCAAGTGACTTACTGGCAGTTGGATCGTTTGAAGTTAGCAATGGCGTGGAATAGGCGGTTGTCNTGTCGGAACATGCAGCCAAAAGCCGTTCACTGTTTGCCAAGTGACAGGAATTTAGTCCGAAAGGAACTCCTAGATGCGCCTCTCTCAAAGTTCACCGACCTACTCTAGCATGCATATCTCCTGTTAAAATCACGACATTAACCCAATTCACTTTACGCGAGAGGTTATGTAGATTATGGTAAAATACATCTGGGCTCCAGTCCATTGGAGCGTGCGCCAATACGACTAACAAGTTTCGTCTATCAGGATGACGGCTGCTTACTTTTCACGAACCCCTTAGTCTCACGGTGAATAACCTACCGTCGACTGGGACCCAATCATGGAGGACGGTTTCAGCTCACTCACTGAGAGCCACGCCGACGCCAGCAAGATCGGAGGCCGCAGCCTCAGGGTCCCCAGAGAGGCGTAAGAGAAACTTCACAGATTAGTTTGATGGGAACGTCAATCGGATAACGGAGCTGGAGTCTTGAATGCGAGTTTCTTGGATGCAACACACATGGATGGTTAGGGTTTCGAGTGTACGAGCTAAACACGCCTGTTGTCCTATATGCATCAGAGTACGCACATTAAACGTGGCCAGTTTGGTAGGATGAAGAAGGGCTTCAGTTGGTGGAGGATTCGGTTAAACTTGGATGCTAGTCGAGGTAGGACAAGAGCGAACAGCGGCGGAATTTCCGCCCGAGGCACTGTTGTCAGTACGATCATCTAAAGGACCCGAGAGAGATGGAGGAGTGGGGGGAGAGGTGAGACGGGGGAGGCTGGGAAAACACGGATACGCAACATCGAAAAAGTCGGTAGCTGCAGCAAATGACTGTCAGGAACTTGCATGTAATAGACACAACCAAAAAATTTTGGATGCAAACTTTAAACAAATCAGTCCATCACTTAGAGGCTGTGACTCAGCAAACTTAAAGTCAGGTTTCCGTAGAACAGGGATTTCACAGAAGAACAGTGAAGCAATATGGGGAGAACACACTGCTGAACGAAAGACGTTATCAGTAACTGATCTGTACAAAACTCATGCAATTCTGTCAATTAGAAGGAAAGTCCTTTCGGCTTCAGAGCAGTCCGAATACGTAGAGATTAACGATTATTACTTTCTGGATAACACCAACATACTTCACGTGACTGGTTCTGTAAATTAGTTTTCCGTTATTATGTCCATTTCAAGGCGGAGGGATTGACTTGGCATAAAGAGAAATCGGAGGTACCAATCGAGGTTAAGATGAAGACCGGCGGAGTTAGAGTAAGTAACACGAAGAAATACGTTAGTGTTGTTAGTTTCAGAATCGCAAGAACCAAAACATAAATAAAAATGACACCATCATCATGCACAAAATGATGAACAGGGGGAGCAACAAGTAAGATGTGACAAGATACGATGGTAGGACATCTCGTAATATACCCAAATAGTGAAGATAGAGAATTCAGCTGAACTAAAGTTCCGCATCTTCAGGTCGCGGATAGAACGGCCACCTTGGTGGTTAACCGTCAATAGGTGGGGGACACCTCATTGAATAATCGATCGTGGACGATCAGCGGCGATGATAGAGGACGTGGCGGGGTTTTCGGCTGGCAACCGATATCCCGTTCAAATACCATAAGTGTCTGCTGACAGCATCGCGACGTGTGCGAATATGGCCCACCACAAAATAAGGCCATTGCCACTTGCCTACTCTTACGAGTAGGACAAATTCTGAGGAATGCTACCTCACGGAAACGTTGGAAATCCTGGACAGGCTCAGATCCATCCGAAAGGCGTATGAACCGTTTTAACGGTCACCGGCTACCAACAGTTCTACCCTGTTACCCTGCAGGTCGCACTTGGTTGTGCAAGGGTCAGAGGTGCACCCTCGAACAAAAACCGAGCGACGTTGGGAACATCACTCAGTACCCCATTCCCAAGTTTCTTCAAATGGTACATCACGTTCATGCTACAGCGTTACCGGGAAGCGACGCTCCCTGCGCTCTCCCAGTGGCTGGGATGAGAGATGAGCAAGCTGGGAACCTAAATCAACTATGCACCAGATCCGGCATCCATGTAGCCTGCTGGAATGTTAGAACATTGCTAGAAACAGGAACCTACTGCATCACGATGCGATCACTGCACGACTACAAAGTAGACATATTTTACCTGTCCGAAGTCCGACTACCTGACTGTGGCACAAAACTAATCAACGTACCACATAGCAACGCAACCTATCGGCTATACCACAGCGGCCCAACTGACAACTCCGGTTTGCACGGGGTAACAATCGCCGTGAGCGGCCGGGTCAACAATACCATGATCTCCTGGAAACCAATCTCTCCCAGGATTGCCATAGCGTGCTTCCGGGGGAAAGCTGTTTAACCTGACTGTCATCGCTGTGTATGCTCCAACGTTACATGCGGAAGAGCCCATCAAAGACGACTTCTACAACCAAGTTCAAGACGCAGAGAACCGTAGTCCGAGAGGCGACATCCTCGTTATCGCAGAAGACTGGAGCGCACGCACTGGTCCATCAGACGAACACACTCGGCATGTTCTGGGAAAGTTCGGCCTTGGTCAACGTTGCGAAAATGGCGAACGCCTAGT